GCAACCATACATTGATATTTCTCTCCCTCTCTCTTTTCCTTCCCCTGTAAAGATAAATAAATTTTAAAAAAGAAATCAAAGGCATATTTGTATACCGACAATGAAATATCAGAACAGAAATAAGGAACTACATCAATTTGCCATAGAAACAAGAAAAATAAAGTACCTAGTAATAAATTTAACCAAGGGGACAAAAGACCTTTACTCAGAAAATTATACAACACTGAAGAAGGAAATTAAGGAAGACACAAATAAATGAAAATATATATTGTGTTCATGGATTAGAAGAATTAACAGCATCAAAATGTTCATACTACCCAAAGCAATTTGTAGATTCAATGCTATCCCTATTGAAATACCAATGACATATTTCACAGATGTAGAACAAACATTCAAACATTTATATGGAACCATAAACAACCCTGAATAGGCTCAGCAATTTTAAGATGAACAAAGTAGGAGGGAGCACAATACCTGATATCAAACTATATTGCAAGGTCACTGTAATCCAAATAGTCTAGTTCTGGCATAAGAACAGACACACAGATCAGTGGAACAGAATAGAGAGCCCCAAAATAAACTCATGTATCTATGGTCAATTAATATTTGACAAAGGGGATAGACACATAAAATGGAGAAAAATAGCCCCTTCAACAAATTGTATTGGGAGATCTGGACAGCTACATGCAAAAATATATAAATTATAAAAATAAGATTAAAAAAAAACCTAAAGCCCCCCAAAACAAAAAGATACTCAACCACCAACTTATACCATACACACAAAAACTTAACATGGATAAAAGACTTAAATATAAGTCATAACTCTATTAAGAGAGGAGAACATGGGCAGGAAAATCTGAAATATTCCACACAGCAATATTTTCACTGATATGTCCCCTAGGGCAAGGGATATAAAGGAAAGAATAAACAATTGGGACTACATCAAATTAGAAATTTCCACATAGCTAAAGTAAAAATTTCCACATTAGCAAAATGAAAAGAGAACCAACTGTATGGGAAAATATATTTTCCAATGATATCTCAGACAAGGTTTGATCTCCAAAATATATAAAGAACTCCCATGACTGCACTCCAGGAAGAATCCAATTAAAAATTGGGGAAAGGACATGAATAGATACTTCTCCAAAGGACATACAGAGGGCCCAGAGATATATAGAAGGATGCTAAGGATCATTAGTCATCAGAGAGATGCAAATTAAAACCACAATGAGATACTACTTCACATGAGTCAGAATGACCATCATAAACATATCAACAAGCAAAAAATGCTGGTGACGTGGTAGAGCACACAGAACCCTGTGATTGTGTTGGTGGGAATGCAGACTGGTGCAACCACTGTGGAAAACACTAGGGAACTCCCTCAAAAAAAAAAAAAAAACAACCAAGAATGGAACTGCCTTTTGACCCAGCAATCCCAGTGCTTGGATTGTACCTTCTGAACCCTGAAACACCAACTCAAAAGAACCTTTGCACCCCAATGGTCATAATAATAATATTTACAATAGCCAAGTGATGAAAACAGCCTAAGTGCCCATTAGTAAATGAGTGGATCAAAAAACTGTGGTACATTTACACAATGGACTAATATGCAGCAGAATCTAAGAAGGAACTCCTACCCTTGTGACAACATGGATGGAACTGGAGAGTATTATGCTAAGTGAAATAAGCCAGGCGGTGAAAGACAAATACTGTATAATCTCACATATAAGTGGAACCTAATCAACAAAACAAACAAGTGAGCAAAATATAACCAGAGACATAAAAATTGAGAACAAATTGATAGTGACCAGAGGGGGGAGGGAGGTGAATAATGGGGGAAAGAAGGAGAAGGGTCAAGTCAAGGAACATGTATAAAGGACCTATTGACAAAGATATAAGCTGTTGTGAGGGTTGAATGTGGAAGTTGGTGGTGAGTAGGGCAGGGGAGACTAAAGGGAGAAAAATGGGGACAAGTGTAAGTGAAAAGTAAAAAATATTTTTAAAAATGCCTAATTTTATCCTTTCCTCAGCAAGAGATTTATGCATTGTATTAATGTGATAACCACATTTTCTAATTTTTCTATCTGATGCTTTGACATCTTGAAGCCTTGCTGAGTCTAGAGGGACAGCACCCACTGAGACTAGCCAACTTCTGGAAATAGTAAACCTGCCTGCAAGTATACCTTTCTAATGCAGAACAACCCTCCAGAGCCCACATTTGCAACCACTTCTTTTTTTTTTTTTAAGATTTTTTAATTTATCTTTAGAGGAGACGGGAAGGGAAGGAGAGAGTAAGAGAAATATCAATGTATGATTGCCTCTTGTGTGTCCCTTGCTGGGAACTGGCCTGCAACCCAGGCATGCTCCCTGGATTGGGCATCGAACTGCAATCCTTTGGTTCGCAGGCCCGTGCTCAATCCACTGAGCTACCCCAGCCAGGGCTCCAACCACTTCTTTTACTGCATTTTTTACACTCTGGAATCATAACCTGCCTTTATCATCTCAAGACAACTACAGACACCCACTGTGCCCCAGAGTCTGCTAAAATTATCTAAACCAGCTCATCATTCCATTCCTTGCCTTTTCCAAGAAAACCATAAAGGCTCTTGTCCACCTTTCCCCCTGGCTCTTTCTGCCACCTAATTGACCCTAGTGCTTCCCTATGTTTCTTCATGGCATGCTCTGCCTCCTGTTTCTAGGGAACTGCAACTAAATAAAAACTTTTGCCTTACAGTCATTTCCATTTCTGTGTGTATTACCATCCCTAATTAAAACAAGTCCCAGGTAAATTTTTAAACAGTTTACCATTTATCTTCATTACACTTTTTCCTGTTAGCCTGGGCCCAGTGTTCCAAGCTGTCATGACCATTTGAAACTCTGGGGTAGTCTTTTATCACGGTACATATCTCTCCCATCTTTGCATTATCTGCCCAGTTGCAAAATGTCTTCTGCATGTCCATGTTCATACTCATCTCATATGACATCACTAGGAGGACTCACAAGCCACACTATGACATTCCCCTAGAAACTTCCTAAGTTAATCCATTGACATTAAATAACATTGGGATGACATCAATTTATTTTAATTTATCTAAAATCTCCTTATCTTAAGCCTTAGATTTCTCTATCTTATAACTTGAGAGATGATGTTAATGTCCTCGTGAAATTCAGAACACTGAACTATAGCTTCACTTTATTAACCTAGAGTCTGCCTCAAAAAAACAAATGATACAAATTTTGTATGACATGCTTAGTTGATCCATATGGTCTTCCATAATCATGTTACTTCTTAAATGCTTGCAAGAAATTTTTGCCAAACATTGGGCTATAGGTTCTAGAATCCGACTTTAACTCCTTTTAAAAAATTGGGACTCCTATTTGCTGAAACTAAGATTTGTTACTTGTTGCTCCATAAAATTTCATTTTACTGTTAAAATATATGAGAATCTGGGAGTTTAACATGGCAATGACAGTCATTCAGAGCAAAGTTGTAATTACTGGTGAGTCATAGCATAATATTCCCAACATGTTAATATTAGTGGATTCTGGGTACACAGTAGTATCAAAACTATGATTATTGCCCATAGTTTAAAGAATTTGAAAGTAAGAAAACTTAAAAATAAGAAATATAAAATTAGAAGCAAAACTGTATTTTAAAAGTTAATCTCTATTTTCTCAGCCTTTACTTCCAATTCAAACATAGTGGAATGCTTTAACATTTCCCATAAATGTTTCCCAAATTAGAATACAGGAAGTATTAAAACAGCAAAGGTTTTTATTAAAGCAGTAAATGATGCTTTTAAAATAAAGCCTCTACAAGGACTTAAAAGCCCAGTTTTCTTTTTAATTTAAAGACTAGAAACTAGCCATTTTACTTGAATTTAAAAAAAAAGAAATTATCATACTCTGCCTATTCTATGTTTTTATATGGTTTTATTGCATGCAGAAACTATTTTTTCTCAGCCCAACAAATAAATGTTTAAAAGTACCTCAAAATAACTTTTGTATTGTTTTCCTTTAAAAAAATCCTCAAATTCTGAATGTTCTTAAAAATTAACAGCCTTTCAAGATTTAGCCCTTTATTCGGGAAAAAAATTAAAAACCTTTTCTCCAAATGCAAAAAAAAAAACTGTTTTGTCCTGTTTATTCTAAAAAGCAGAGGGCAGTAGACTTTGAGAGTGGGCTCTACATCCTACAAAGGAAGGCAGAGAGTCAGAGCTGTTGCTTCAGGGACAATAATTCAATAGGATCCCTGCAGTTCGGCTAAAAGAGAGAGAGCATCAGCCAAGACTAACTAGGCCAACAGCATGAGGAACACAATAGAGAAAAATCAAGTACGAACCATGAATGCTGACCTAATTTTAAGGCAGGTTGATAGTAAAAATGTTTTATAACACCCAGGGGGAAAATTTTTTAAAAATATAATACATATTATGTACATATTACATACGAAATCTCCAAGTAAGCCATGATGAAAACGGAATGTTTTTCAAGGCCTAGGGAGAAAAATATTTAAAATTATTTAAGGACCACATGATATTAAAGTGGACTAATTCCGCTTTATGAAATGTACATTTAATTATTTTTAAAGTTTGGCATGATTTGTATCAATACAGGTTTTTGTTCTGATGTAGGAGAATTGAAAAATGAATGTCAAGGCTTTAGCTGCTTTCATTCATTTTTCCTCTTTGATGGAAAATTTCAGACATATACAAATTGGAAAGAATAATATTGTAACCAAGCAGTCCGGGTTTTGGCTGCTTGCCCCCATGCACAAGTGTAACACAGAAATAGGTAAAGATGGAAAAAGGTTTTATTAACAGGGTTCTTAATTGGGGGGAGCTGAAGTCTCCTTTTCTCCAAGCCATTCTCTTGCAAAACACAGAAACCCCCTTGTTCCCAGAGAGACTGAAATCCAGATGTACATCCAGAAGTTTCCCATCATCTTTGTCTGTTATTTTTGAGGGGAGGTATTTTTTATTTTTATTTATTTATTTTTTACATGTAGGCAGCCAAAGGAAGGCAAAGAAAATTAATTGCACGTAACCTTCTGCCCTGAAAAGCTGAGGCATGCCAGATTTTATTCCAAGTTGCTACTTTCCTGAAGAGGGTCACTATTAGGCTTATCTGTTATTTTTGGAACCCATAGTTACTATAGGAATAGGTCTCCATACTCCAGCTTTCAGGCTCTCCCTCTCAGTGATACACACTTGTGGGCTCCAGAGGTGACATTGCCTCATGAAGCTTCTTCTCTCCTGGGGTCTGGGGTGTGCTTCCAATTCACTGCAGCTGACCATGCAGAAGAATCTCCCTCCATGGGGACCCAGGGCTCAGAGTGGCTCATTCCTCTGGACCAGAGGAACTTTCCCAGCTTATGTGTCTGTGTCCTGCTCTGAGACAGTAGAAGCAGTCCAGGACCCTTCCACAGGTTGCAGTATCCTGCCACCCACTACTGGAAAAGTGCATCCTGGCCTGCTCCAAACTATGACAGCAGGGCAAGGTAGGAGCCACAATTAGGGCCCAGGATCTCTCAGGTTCCCACAAACACTCTACGCCACACCCTGAGGGTGTGGGGTGAGGAAGAGAAAGAGTGTTTCTGCCCACACTCTGTTTCAAAGTCTCAGCCCACAAATCCATGCACAGCAGAGCATCAGGCCAGTCAATCAATCCACACTAATGTCCTCCATGTTGGTCAGCCTGCCAGGGTCTTTCTGCCCCTTCTGGCTGCCCTGTTGTGGGAGGGGAGGAAGTTTACAGGCCATGAACAGCAGTGCAAATGTCTCAGCCTAAATAAAGTGTAGCGTCTAGCCCCCACAGGCAGCATAGACTCTGTAGTCTGTCACGAAATGCTCACCTGTTGGGGCAGTGCACCTGGTTCCTATAGCTGCCTTGGCCTTCTTTACAGTTCCCCTGGGGCATAGAAACCTATAAACCTCAGCTCCATTTTCAACCCTGGGGTGCCTTTGATGTTTCTTGTAACCCTCTCCTTTCTACACTCTCAGGGTATCTTCCTTACTCCCAGCCATCTGGTCAGACTCCTCTGTTACAATATAATAAACTTTCAAAGGTTGACTTCAATATTTACCAACTCCTGCCCAATCTTGTTTCATTTATAATCCTGCATATGAGCCTCCCCATATACACAAAATCAAGCATTATTTTGATGTGAATTCTAAATAGCATATAATTTCATTTAAATATATTGGTGTATAATGTGTGCATGATTATTTTGTAAACAATACCATTATTTTCACTAGACATTAATATGCAAATTTCTCCAGTTGTCTCATAAATCACCTTTAACATAGGTTCTTCTTACTGTATGTTTTTCATTATTTTGTTGTTAAACAGATCAGATAATTTGCCTTGTATAGCTTCCCATATTTTGTACTTTGCTAATCACATGCTTGTGGTATTAATATGTTCTACTGACTTCAGTGTTTGCTGTAATTAGTAGTTAGATTTAAATACCTGATCAGTGTCTGTTCAAGTCTGTTGCCCATTTTTTAATTGGGTTGCTTGTCTTCTTAGAGTGGACTCATGTGATTTCTTTATGTATTTTGGAGATCAAACCCTTGTCTGAGATATCATTCACAAATATGTTTTCCTATATGGTTGGTTCTCTTTTCATTTTAATGCTGTTTTCTTTAGCCATGCAGAAGCTTTCTGTTTTGATGAGATCGCATTTGTTTATTCTTTCCTTTATGTCCTTCGCACTAGGGGACATATCAGTGAAGATGTTGCTGTGTAGAATATCTGATATTTTTCTGCCTATGTTCTCCTCTAGGACTTTAGCGGTGTCATGACTTATATTTAAATCTTTTATCCATCTTGAATTTATTTTTGTGTATGGTGTAAGTTGGTGCATAAGTTTCTTTTTTTTTTTTTGCATGTAGCTCTCCAGTTCTCCCAACACCATTTGTTGAAGAGGCTATTTTTACTCCATTTTATGTTGCTGCCCCCCTTCATCAAATATTAATTGACTGTAGAGACTTGGGTTTATTTCTTTGACTCTATTCTGTTTCATTGGCCCATGTGTCTATTCTTATGCCAGTACCAGACTGTTTCCACTTCTCTAAGGAGTACATACAGAGGGTCCAGAGACATATGAAAAGATGCTTAGTATCGCTAGACATCAGAGAGATGCAAATTAAAACCATGAGATACCACTTCACACCAGTCAGAATAGACACAATAAACAAAGCAACAAACATCAAGTGTTGGAAAGGTTGTAAAGAAAAGGGAACCGTAGTGCACTGTTGGTGGGAATGCAGACTGGTGCAGCCACTATGGAGAGCAGTATGGAATTTCCTCGGAAAACTAAGAATAGAACTGCCTCTTGACCTGGCAATTCCACTGCTGGGATTGTACCCTAAGAATCCTGAAACATCAGTTCAAAAGAACCTATTCACCCCAATGTGCATAACAACACAATTTACAATAGCCAAGTGCTCAAAGCAACCTAAGTGCCTATCAGTAAATGAGTGGATCAAAAAACTGTGATACATTTACACAAGGGAATCCTATGCAGCAGGAAAAAAAAAAAGAAGGAGGAGCTCCTACCCTTTGGGACAGCATGGATGGAACTGGAGAGCATTATGCTAAGTGAAATAAGCCAGGTGGTGAGGCACAAATACCATATGATCTCACCTTTAACAGGAACCTAATCAACAAAATGAACAAGCAAGCAAAGCATATAGCCAAAGACATTGAATGGTTTGTAAAAGTCTCCTGTGAAAACATTGAAACACTGGCTTTAATGTGCAGGGAATTTTTTTATTACTGCTTCTATTTCACTAGCTTTTATTGGTCTGTTCAGGCTTTCTGCTTCTTCTTCATCCAGTTTTGGAAAGTTATATTTTTCTAGAAATTTGTCTATTTCATTTAGATTTTCAAGTTTCTTGGCATATAGTTCTTCATAGCAATTTCTTACAATCCTTTGTATTTCTGTTATTAGTTATAATCTCTCCTCTTTCATTTGTGATTTTATTTTGGTCCTTCCTCTTTCTTTTTTTCTTTTTATTTAATTATTTTTCAAGTACAGTTTTCTGCCTTTTACTCCCTTCCCAGGCCATCCCCCCCCCATGCTTCCCACCTCCCTTCTTCTTTTTCTTGATGAGTCTGTATAAATCATTGTTGATTTTTATTTTTTCAAAGAACCAGCTCCTGGACTTATTGATCCTTTGGATTTTTCTATTAGTCTCTGTATCATTTAATTCTGCTCTGATCTTGGTTGTTTTCTCCTTGCTCTGGGCTTTGTTTGTTGTTCCTCCAGTTCTTGTAGATGTAGGGTTAGGTTGTTTATTTCAAATGTTTCTGTTTTTTTCTCATAGGCCTGTATTGTTATAAAGTTTTCTCTCAGGACTACTTTTGCTCCATCCCCTGAGTTTTAGACCATTATGAGTTCATTTTCATTTGTTTACAGAAACATTTGATTCCTTCCTGATCTTACTATTCACCCATTCATTGTTTAATAGCATGCTATTCAATATCCATGAATGTGAGTGTTTTGAGTTTTTCCCTTGAGGTTGTTTTCTAGTTTCGGGCCCTTGTGGTCTGAGAAAATGCTTGATATGAGTTCAATTTTCTTGAATGCATTGAGGCTTGTTTTGTGACCTACCATGTGGTCTATCTTTCAAAATGTTCCATGTGCATTCGAAAAGAATGTATATTTTGTTTGTTTGGGATGAAAGGCTCTCTATGTATCAGTTAAGTCCATTTGATCTAGGGCGTTGTTCAATGCTGCAATATGCTTGTTGATATATTGTTTGGAAGGTTTGTTTACAATGGGGTATTAAGATCTCCTACTAAAAGTGTGTTGTTGCCCTGGCTGGTGTAGCTCAGTGGATTGAGCGCGGGCCTGCGAACCAAAGGACCGCAGTTCGATTCCCAGTCAGGGCACATGCCTGGGTTGCAGACCAGTTCCCTGCGGGCTATTTCCCAGCAGGGGAAGTACTAGAAGCAACCATACATTGATGTTTCTCTCCCTCTCTCCTTCCCATCTAAAGATAAATAAATAAAATCTTTAAAAAAAATAAAAGTGTGTTGTCTATATCTTTCTTGAAGTCCTCTCAAATTTTCCTTTATATCTGGGTGCTCCTTTGTTGGGTGTATATATGTTTGCAATGTTTATGTCTTCTTGATGTATTCTTCCCTTCAGTATTATGAAGTGCCCTTCTATGTCTCTTTTTATGGCCTTTTTTTGAAGTCTACTTTGTCTGATATAAATATTGCTACACCATCTTTTTATTTTCCTGCCTATTTGCTTAGAATATTATTTTTAACCATTTATTTTCAGTCTGTGTCAGTCTTTTCTTTTTTGAGGTGGGTGTCTTTTAGGCAGCATGTGTGGGGGTCATATTTTCTTATCTGTTCACCTACCTCATGTCTTCTGACTGGAGCATTTAATCCATTAACATTTATGGTTATTATTGATAGGTACTTAATCATTTTTTCCCTTTATACCTGAATTAATCTATCTCACTCTTTTTTTCATCCTCTTACAGCAGTCCCTTTAGCATACCTTGTAATACTATTTTGGTGGGTGTGTATACTTTCAGCCTCCTTTTTTCTGCAAAATTCTTTATATCAATTTCCATTTTAATTAAGAGCCTCATTGGGCAGTGTACTCTTGGTTGCAGGCCTTTGATTTTCATTACTTGGAATATTTCTTGCCATTTCCCTCTGGCTTGTAGTGTTTCTGTTGAGAAGTCAGCTGCTAGCTTTTTTGTAGTTCTCTCTTATTTTACTTCTTGTTTTTCCCTTGCTGCTTTTAAGGTTCTCTCTTTGTCTTTGAGTTTTGCCATTTTAATTATGATGTGTCTTTGAGTAGGACTCTTTGAGTTCATCTTGATTGGGACCTTCTATGCTTCCTGAACTTGTATGGCTTTTCCCTTCTCCAGGTTTGGGAAGTTTTTGTGGTTGTATTTTCAAGCAGTTTTCTGTCCTTGCTCATATTCTTCTCCTTCTGGTATTCCTATGATTTGAAAGTTGTTGCATTTCATTTTGTCTTACAGTTCCCTTGGGCTATCTTCATATTTTGGGAGTCTTTTTTCATGTAGCCGCTCTACCTGGATGTTTTGTTTTCTTCTACTGTGTCTTCCAGCTCACTTTATCCAGCCCA